CTATGTTCGCATTAGCACAGTTTATATGTTGCCCAATAAAGTACCTACATCATTTCAACAAAATAATGAGGTACTAACCAAAATAACTTATTCACTAACAGAATCACTCCCATGGGTAGAGATTACATTTTGTCGCTATGTGTGACAGCCTCTCCTGAATGAATACAATGGCTAAACATTGAAAATACATTCGGAAAGCCATCTCAATATGCCTGCACGACTAAAGCTATTTCGATTTGTTACAGCAAACGATGCACACGACCACTTAGCAAAGTGCTACGCACAACTAGGGCATAAAAAATTACGCATTCTAAGCACATCAAATGCGCCCACTCGCATATAAGTGCAAAAGTTCGCAAACGAAATAAACCCGACATACTAAAAACGTATCATAAACAATATCAGATCAAGGTGAAAATGGTGTCATCTTTAATTGTGGAAGAGAATAAAGTCACATTCGAGTGCACTTGGGTTCCTCTTTAGTGCCAGAGTATAGAAGGAAAATAGGTGAGGTTAGTTCTTTGGCATTACTTTTTATATATCTCTCGCTCAACTGTACAACAGAAAAAATAAACACACAATATGACAGGCTTAAATACACTATGTGTAACATGAGATTCCTACTTTAAACTTGTTTCCAAATAATTGTTAACATACTGAATGAAAAAAGCGAAGTGCTACCAACAAGCGTTGTGGTAACTTATCTGCAAAACTGTTTTTCTCAGCTACACTTGCGTGAATGTGTTCAGCGTCGAACAGACTTGTAAGATGAGACCGTGCACTACCACATACCTAGCTTGAACCTATGATTTGTAAACACGAGCACGATTTCTTACGCTGATTCAAACATAAAAACCATGATCGAATCACTTTTTTCTTTCCATATTTCAATAAACTAATATTACAACCAATTCAGGTTAGCAGTCAGTGAACAAAGTCGCATCCCTATCACAGTCTGAAGTTCACGTCAAATCAAACTTCTGCATAATGTTAAATAAGCCATTTCTATGAAGAGGCTGATGCCGTCTGGAAGAGCAATTTTCGAAGCTTGCAGCCTCTTGGATGCCTTCATTGAACAAAATTGACACATCTGAAATAAGAATGAGATCTCTTTCAAAGCCAGCACGAATACACATTACATCCACACAAACTTCCATCTCCAGCGTCAATAAAACATGAACCAAGCAAATTCGTTGCAATCAATTTCATTGCCATTTGCCGGTATATATGTAATGGAGCAATTACCTCTGCAATCGAATATGTTTTTTGGCCAATGCACCTTACCTGTGGCACCAAAATTCAGAACCATCTTTATTTAGTTATTGATACCTCATAGGCCCCAGAAAAGGCGTTACGTGAGGGTAGGGGGGCCTACAGTGCAATAAAATCCCTTAAATATGCATATTAAAGAAATTTGCGACATAACAGAAAAATGCAAAGGAGTAAATACAAATTGCACTTGCAGTACATATTACAATGCAGCCATAATACAGTTACACCATTATAAATTATTTAACGAAAATGAAAGCTTGTGACAATTTTATAAAAAAGACAAATGTAACCAGAATGAAAAACCACTTTGCATAAGCTTATCACAAGTAAAATACACGTATACACACACGCATATATATATATATTATCACAGTGTGTGAAAACTAAGAGCACTGTTTTTGTTCAAGTGATGGCAGAAAGCATCATGGTCACCAAGTAAAGCAATGTTTTCCGGTAGGCTGTTCCATAGACAAATAGTGTGAGATAATGGTGAAAAATTAAATGATTGACTTCAATCAAGCAAATAGCTTGTTCTTTTTATTAGACAAGCTTTATAATTACTTTTTTTGTTACAAGATAGAAGAAATTTTCGAAGCTCCTCTTTGAAAGCGTTCTTCCCATTTGTCCTGTTAACGAAGTAATAGCACTGAAAAGACAGTGACCAGGGAGAGGACAGGCAGTGTACAACCCGGAATTCCAGTTGGGAGTAGCACATGTTCTGTTCTCTTCCTCGGCCCCAGTTCTGTCAGCACTATGGCTGCATTGAGCATAAAAACCAACAAGCTCAGAAAGTCAGTTGTGCCGGGTTCCCGTTTCCCTATAATGCAACCTCACTACAGGTTGCATTCAGGTTGGTATGAAATCGGGTACCTCGAAATTTCATCCTGCCCAGAGAGATAGAGCTACAACAGATACTGTGCTTACACAGAGTATAGTGTACCTCAGAGGCACAACGACAAGCAAATATTATCTGATGTTGAATTTTATCTCAGATAATGACATGGATATATACAGTTGAATAGCTTTATAAGAAACATGCACTGGGCAGGAGTTCTGGTCACTAACATGAGGTGTCTCTTATAAGTAGAGTAGAATGTTTTCATTTTTTGATAAACCACTACTTTTGTGCGGACTCATCGCTGTTTTATATACCCATTTGTATCTTAAATCAGTGCCTCTCATAAAAGGGTTTAACTGTACTTAGATATGTCATTGTAGTAAAAATTGTAACAGAATTAAGTTTGTCAATGTTGGTTCAGCCAGTTTACAATTCGGAGCAATTTTTAGAGTAAGAGAAAAGCAGTTCGGGAGCAGATTTTCAGCAGGAATAACTATGTTTAGAAGCATATTTGGAGATGGAGAAAAAAACTGTTTTGGAGTAGGTTTGGAACGTAAAAATTAGGATTTGTGATCACATGGAGTAGTACAACAGCAAGTCTGTAACTTTTCAGTGCATAATCTTATTAATTTGCAACCAGGAAGTACTGCTCTAATGTAATCAAGACAGCAAACTATCAGCGGGCAGCCACTAATAAGGCTGTTTAGACGATAATGTGAAAAGCAGGCTTCACGACAACATACAATATTTTGGGAACTGCACTGGGAGATGAGACAACAAACTAGAAAAAAAAAAAGTTTATTGGACGAATGCATTGCGACTTAGACGAACAGACACAGACGAGCACCAACTTACAACTCAGCGTTTTAAGTATGCACTCTTTTATCTGTGCATCATGTTTTCGTCGTAAGTTGCACTGCATTCACCTGAATACAATCTCACCCAAGTCAGTGTGCCACTGAAAAAGTGCCTAGCCTGAATTTTTATACATGGCTGTCTCAAGTTCCCATATTAATATATAACCAACTAGTCCCCCCCAACACGTGCTCTGCGAAACACAAGATGCACGCTGTGGTGCAGTACCGGTGAAAAGGCTAGCATAGTAAGCACAGTTTTGCAAGTCATAGGTGTCAAAACATCATTCCTTCCTAGGCGGCTGTAGAATCGGACACACTGGCTGACAGTTAAGAGTGCATATTAGCGCAAATAACAAGTGCGTGCAGAAGCACTGTGTGTTCTTTTGTCTGCCCCCTCTTGTTGTTCGCACAGACATACACTGTCATACCTTGGTCCCACTGGTAAACTTATTGTTTTGAATGAGTGCACTCACGTCGCCAGAATGTCATTTAAGCTGCATGCTGCTACACAAGAATGGGAAGCATATTTTGGAAATTATGGTAATGGTAACGAGTACTTAATTCACATAGCAGATACTTGTTTCAGGCAATGCTGTTTAAGTAATGATGTGAACAGACAATGATGCTAACTAAACTATGGGGAATACCGTTAGTTGTCAAGAAAGAAAAGTGGACGAAAAGCTAGACTGTCCCTCGCAGGTCCAAACCTGCGATTTTCAAATAATGCGTCTAATGCTCAACCAACTGAGCTACAATGACTGTCATTCCTCCGTCCACTTACGAGGCATATACAGTAGACTCGTTAAACGAAACCTGAAAGGACCAGGAAAATGTGTTCCAGTTAGCAGGAGTTCCATTTACCGCGAGATGAACAGGGATGCATAATTGATGCACGAAACCAATTATATTGGATGCAGTCATTTCGTTTAAGCAGTAGTTCATTTTGAGATTTTTGTTAACTGAGCATCTACAACGTGTACACTTAAACGTGGGAGCATGAGTCAGTGCCGCCAGTAGCCTTGACAGTGAGTATAGAACACTCCTCTTCTTCCCCTTGGCATAACATAGCATGTGGTCTTATTCCGATCTGGCAGCTCACCAATAATCACTCACATACTAGCTTGGCATCACATAGCATGTGGTCTTATTCCGATCTGGCAGCTCACCAATAATCACTCACATACTAGCTGAATGGACCAAGTCTGCCAAAACGAGGCCCTCGCTATGAATGAAAGAAGGGAATTTTAAAGGCTCGTTTTTATTTGTTAAAACAAAAAAAAAGCTTTTGAATTTCTTTTTTTCCTGAAGCAGCAACAGTGCAATTGCCTTTTCTTCAAATATGGAAGGCCTCAATGGCTTCACTCGCTAATGAACTTCACAGACTACACTAATGAACTACGCTGGGGTGCCAGCGAAAACACAAACACATGCACAAAAAGGCGGTGCACACAGACGAACGCCGAACTTTCAGCTGTGCGGTATTTCAAAATACACGTGCATTCCGTTACGGAATGCACATGTCTGAGAAGTCCTGTTCAACATTGGTATTTCCAAATAAAGCACAGTCCAGCCCTTGTCAAGGTGTACTGCCCTCTTGTGTACATATTTCTGCGTATTCGCTAACACCCCGTCATTGAAGTTCACGACGCACCAACCAGCCCAACAGCTAGCACTTATACGTTACTCTCTTGCTGACCTGTTGGTGATGTGACAGTATTATCGCATCACCAAAGAGGGGTGTACAGCTTCATTTCCGACAATGGGTGGTGAGGAAAAATGCCTGCGTCTCTGACGATGAAAATTTGTGCTCCACTAAGACGACCGTTCGTCATCCCAAGCCCGTCTTTCATTTGTCTAGGGTATGCTGAACAAACCACAGGAACAAAAAGTCTACGGCCATGCCGTGTACTCGCCAAGTGACACGCAGTTTGAAAAATGTTGCTAAGCGATACTGTGCTGATGTAGTTTTCTCGCCTTCCCATAAGTTTGTGTCTGAGTGCAAATTGTTGAAACATATTGACAACAAAACCAAAGGCATTTAAAGTATTCCTGTTAAGTGTAGAAAAATTCATTCTTTCCGCAATACAGAATGCAAGGAGGCCATTGTTTGTCAAATACCATTATCATGCAAAAAAGCTTCTAAAGGACATAGTGGAAGGTGAATGAACAAGTAGTTCAAGAGACTTCTAAACGATATATTGCCAGAAACTACATTTTTCGTGCATTTGAAGAAGTTTGATGAACTGTAGAAGTCATCCTCACCAATAAACATACATTCAACCAATTAAGCCTGCTGCTCTGTCACAAGAAAAATGCTAACTCCAGCAAAGACCTTTAAGACTTTTCCTTTGAATGACGACAGAAGATGTGGTTCTTGAGGTTGCTCTTCTGCGAAAAGGTTGCATTGCAGAGAAGACAGGAAAAGGGACGCCCTCCTGTGTGGATGCGCAAGTGCTGCTTGAGGTTGCAGTTATGAGTGAAGGAAGCAGGACACAAGCGGCACTTGAAGGGACGCTCCCCCGTGTGTCTGCGAAGGTGTGCGTTCATGTTTGCTCTTTGCTTGGTCACATAGATACACTGCCGGCAATAATGCAGTTCATCTTGTATTGACACGAGCGTATGATACTGGTCCAGGGATGCCATTGAAGAGTAACCTGTTAAAGCACAGGGAGAACAGAAAGCCAATTCAAACTATGCATCACACACTCGTACATGAAACTGCAGTGTAGTACCCTGCAATTGGAAATGGTTTCTACACCTGTATGTGCTAACATTGGCCTACCCAAAAGCAAATGTTGCTGAAGTGGTAACAGTGCATCAACTCAATACGAATCGCACAAGTTCCCAACTCTTTGTACGTAAATACTACGCTCAATAGATGCAAACATCTGCTGCCAAGAGAAGTGTTATTTAGATACAATTATGATAAAATAGCTAAAACTTGATCTGACAGAACCGGACTCCATGAAGTATGAAGTTTACTATTTGACAAAAAAAAAAAAGTTTCCACTTGCCAACAAATATTTGTAGGGTTTGGTGCTGTGATCAATTGACATTAATGAACTAATATGGCCACTAAACTCTATTTAACGAGATTCTTCCTTGAATAAAAGTAAAAAAAATGTTTTACTTTTCAACTTTCACAGGGAGTGATTTTCTTTCAAGCATTAGCTACACTATCATGCTGAAATATCGAGCTGCCCCAGCTTTCTTTGACAAGGTTGCCCACCAGGTCTATGCACGATACATTGGACTCTGCAATTGGTAGTGCCATTACGTGCCAGATTGTGTTAGAGGCAGCAGTGGTAGCTTACTTTATTTAAGGGATTGTGCCCCACATATCACTAATTACCTGCTTGCATTTTTTCACACCTGGCCAACATACACAATTACTGTACTGGTTCTCCCCATCATCACATATTGGCAACCTATGTGATAGCCTACCTGACAGTACATGGTGTCCACTAGTCACTCTCATAGACTTTTCACATGAACAGACGGGACATTGTCGGAAAGAACAATGCTGTAGTAGCTTTTAGATGATCCTAGTTATGATAATAAAGTTTAAAAGACCGAAAAATGTTTATTTTACAATATTTTAAATTTACTAAAATATTCCAAGCGTGGTCATCACTCTGTTAAAATTGAATTTCAAGTGTACAAATAAACAGCTGTATTTCTTCCTACTCTATGTACTACTCAAGGAAAACTAGAAGACTCCAACCAAAAATTATTCGAAAATAGTCGACATTTCAAAGCCAGACCAAATCTGAATGGAAATTCGGATCGAAGTTAATGTAAAATTACGTGCAAAATACCACAACAGAAAAACAGTTACAATGGTCGGAATGGTGTCACAGTTTGTAGTAACAAACAATACACCAATGCTTTCAAGTATTACAAAAAGGATAGTACTATTCCCCTATGAATGCTCTGCTGACACATTCTCCAAAACAAGTTTTATATAGGTTGAATGAGAGCAAAATGCAAAAAAAAAGAACACAAATATAGCTTGAAGACACACTAAAGAGAGTAATGGGTTTTCTATATTTGTAAATTATGCTTTTGCAATATTAATATAACCATGCTTGCCTCAAGAACATGATTGGTAATCGAAAGAACATGCAAAAGGAATACGAGTGCAGCGATGCCTTTTTGAAAGTCTTGCACGTTATAGGCTTCGACAGCATTTCTGGGGCCTAGATAATTCCTAATCAGTAACTATAATATAGAAGTTGTCCTTTCATGGTGACCAGTACTTAAAGTACTGAATTTCAGAATGTTTATTGAGTCATTGTCGCCAAAATGCGAAAAATACGCTTTGAAATTATTGGCGTCACTTGCAGTAATCTCGGCACAAAATTAAAAAACAAACATGACCTTGACTTTTCTCTCAAATAATAAACACATGATACTCATCATTCCCTTTAGCATCTTTTTAAAAGATTTATAGCTTGTCCGCATACTACTTTTTTAATGTTACCCTGTGGCCAGAATACTATATTTCACACATCATGCCACCGAAACACGTGCTCTAGGAGAGCTTTAGCTCCTCATACGAAAATATTCATGGACGAATGTAAATGTATACAGCTGTGCAAACAAAATAGTAAATGCATTTAAATCACATTTAATGTAAATAACATTCAATCACTACTGTGACATAACCTAATTAGAGGTATTTAGCATGTACCACATTACAGTATCCACAAAGAAATGTAGAAATACCGGATATTGGTATTGATATCTTGTGACACCTTGTGCAATTAAAAACATGTTTGCTTTTCGAGAAAAAAAAATTAAAAAGCAACTTATTTGTAGTTATGCCACTGCATGGGACTTACACCAGAAGTGGAATGCACAATGCTTTTGCAATAACAATTTTTTGCTTGCCTGGTTGCTGCAGGCCCCACACGATGATACCACCTGCCCGGCCTCTCAGGGATTGTAGGCCAATCATGTCTATGGATTTGATATTGTAGATCTGATCTATAGATTTTATCAGCTAGCTGAAATATTGTGGTCATTATTAGTGCTTACACTTTGGTTAATTTTGACTTGGCATCTGGAGTCACTGCAAAGCTGATATTGTGGACAGCCACGAACAAAGGTGAATTTGTTAGATATGGCCGAAAATGTAAAACGTAACTTCCATGTATTTTTTGTTCCATGAAAGAGAGTTTATATTTCATAAAGATGCATGCACATACTTATTTCATCCAGTATTTCAGTAACACGATAATGCGAAAAGTACATGGAAAAGGTAAACTTCTATTGACTAGATTACGTTTCAGTCCAGCAACTACTACAAGCAAGTAGACATTCACCACAAAATAAAACATCATCCTAAATGAATGTTATAGCTAGATATGAGAGCCACAATGCACTAATCAGCCTAACAAGGCTATAAATGAATTTAAGACATCAAACTATTTATACAATGAGCACAACAAGTCCATTAAAAAATTTACACAAGAAATAACATAAATGAAATAGATGTCACAAAATATAAAAGCTACAGTTAAAAAAATTGACAGTGCATATGTTGAAACACTTGATGGTCACAGAGAATGCAAGCATAATTCAGTGTATTCAGGAAATTGTGGTCCCTTACAATGTGGCCCTGCAAGAAAAAAATAAGCGACATGTATTTGTCAACAGTAATATTGCAACTCTACAGACTTGAAAGTATAGCACAAAAGTTCAAATATAAATGCTTAATTTAAAGCACAGAAGGCATAATGGTGTAAAAAAAACAAACTGTCCTAGTGAACTTTTTTCAATATTGTTATCAATTTTTTGCAATGCAAAAGAAATTCACGAATGCAGAGAACTGCAATAACTTATCTACAAAACTGTTTGACTCGTCTAAAGTCGCAAAAACACTGGGACTGTTAAACAGACTGCTAAAGGCAACAGTATGTGTTAGCAACATAGCCTAAATTATTGCTTTGTAAAAACCAGTGTAACTATTGGAAAGCAATAATTTCATTTTTTTTTGTTTAAGAACATCAGCAAACTATGATAGGACACAAGAGAACATCAGACTCCTTGATTTAAAATAAGCAAACTGGCAGTCAGAGGAAGCAGCCAAAAACTATGATTATATCACTGTCAAAATTTTAAGCTGATAACAAATCAAACACCAACACAACATTAAACAAATGACCAATCTTCAACAGGTGGGATGTTGCATTGCTGGCAAAGTTTTAACCATACAAGCTTTTTTTTTATTCACTGTATCCTCAAAGGTTCCATATGAAACTTTACATGAGGGGTGGGCAACAAAAAAAAAAAAAAAAAAAAAGGCGGTATCAAAAGTAATGATGAAGATACAGCTGAGTAAGCTTCTAGGATGGCATTCTCAAAGCGCACAGAATATCGTGGCTGACTGCCCACGTCTTCCAGAAGGCCATTCCAGTCTCGGGCGGTGCGAAAGAAGAATGACTGCTGAAATGATGTGGTGTGAGCACGTGGCGGAATCACAGCGTCTGGCTGACTTGTGCGATAACCTCAATGGACTGGTTGAATTAGCTGGTTGTCACGTGCAGCTGAGTGAAAAAGTTTATGGAAAAGACAGAGATGTTCAATACGACAATGAAGAATGAGGGTAGGAAGCTTTAACTGGTTTTGTAAGCTGGAGATGCTGCAGTATCAGGAGTGATCTGAAGCAATGAATCTGAAAGCTCAGTTCTAAACAGACTCCATAATTATAATATGATTAGTTTGATGGGGGTCAAAGACGGCAGATGCATAAAGTTTAGGTCTGACAATAAGCGAGTAGTTTGACTTATATGTGGGGTTTAACGTCCCAAAACCAGCATATTGTCACAGGTAGTGGGTATGAGCCATCAACTGAAGGGGGAATCCCTTGGAAGCGAAGAAAGAAGAGGGCTTTTGCGTCCTGGTCTGAGGGCAAGCAAGACATCGTTTCCTCGCTCTCTGTTATTACGTTCGTGGCACTGGTGGAGGTGCTGGGTAAATGCGCCTCGGCTGCAGATTTTCAGCCGACACACCGAGCTACTTGGAGACAGCTACAGCTCCCACGGCACGAAGCAGTCGCCGCCTGCGAGGACTATCTCCCGAGTACGGTCCCCTCTCTCAAGACGAGATGGCAACTTCAACTAACAACCAGGCGAGTCAAACCAATGACGCCTATTCTTTTCTCCCGCATGTTTTTCATGCGCCGCAAACACCACGCTCATTTCATGGAGACATTTATGAAGATGTTGACGACTGGCTTGACCACTTCAATCGAGTTGCCAACATCAACGAATGGGATGAAGCTCGCAAGCTGCGGAGAGTTTACTTTGCGTTAGAAGACTCTGCCAAAACGTGGTACGAGAATCACGAGGGTTCCTTTGCGACGTGGCATGAGTTCAGCCGACAGTTTCGTGATGCGTACCGCAGCACTGAAAGGAAAGGGAGAGCGGAGCAGGCTATCTCGTCCCGGAACCAACGTCCCAACGAGAGAGTTTCGATGTTTGTCGAGGACATGCTTCGACTCTTCAAGCGTGCTGACCCTGAAATGTCCGAGGAAAAGAAGGTGCGGCATTTAATGCGAGGGGTAAAAGAGCAGCTCTTCGCCGGACTCGTGCGCAATCCACCGACGACTGTGGCAGAGTTCATAAATGAGGCAACCACAATGGAGCGT